TTCTCGATGCACCAAATCAAACGCATTCTTGAGGAAGAGCAGCCCACGACTGAACTCATGACTCAAAGCGCTAGGATACGGTCTATTGTGGACTTCCCAGATTTCTCCGGTTTCTGGTGCCTGGGTAGATGGTCACAGATCTGTTTCAGAAGAATGTGGGCGAAAACCTTGCCTTGTATACTGAGCAGTGTGCTGCAACAGTAATTGCTACAGTCCCAAAGATTCACTTTCCCCTTCCAGAGAAGGATGACCACGCCCCTCATCAAGTCAAGGGGAGTGGAACCAGACTACCAGATAACAGTCAAAACTGTATGCAAGCCGTGTGCCATAGGTTTCCCCCCTGCCTATAGTAGTTCAGCAGAGATATCACATATACTTGCAGCTTTCCCACCCTCCAGCTTTGAAATTGCCATCCTAACCTCAGTTAGGGTAGGTACCTGGCTGATGGGTGGGTCTGGAACAGGTATTGTGATACCAGCTGCTTCCAAACTAACTGCTGGAGGGTCTACCTGGTACAGCTGCTCAAAATAGCCCAATATTCACGAACCCCAGCATGTTTTGAGATGATCTGTCCATTCACTGAGAGCAGTTTTCTCAGAGCTTGGTGGGCAGGGCGAAGGTCATTTACCAAGAAATGGCCTTCAACCTCCTCATTATGGTTCCTAATGAACTGCTCCTTGTCCCTTCTCAGTAGTGTCTGAGTCCTATGCACCAAGGAATGGCGCAAGTCCTGATTGCCATTCAGCCAAGCCATGAGACCTGCTTCTATGGCCTCTAGTATCTCCAGTAAGGTAAAATTCTGTTTTACCCTTAGATATTCATTAATTAACTCCTGCACTACTTCGAGAGTTTCCTACTTGAAGAACTCCCACAGAGCAACTCATTCCATCAGGTTTTCAAGTTCTGTGAACTGTGGTGAACCTCCAGGAACACTCCCCCCTTAATCTGTACGAGCGAAACGCCCTAGAGTGGCCACTGGAGGGATGAGGAGTTTTGAAGTGGACCTGTAGGCTAGTCATTACCAGCCTATGTTCTGTGTCACAGAACTCAGCACTCTGGTAAACCCTGAAATTTGGTCGATCTACTTTGCCACACTACTCGTATCACTATACCATCTCCAGCAATGTGGGTTGGAGCTTTGATACCAGGCACCAGAAATCTTCATTCTCTGGGACCTAAACCTGGAGGAGGCTATTCTCACTGCTGGGATTAGCTCCTGAGCCATGGGGTCCGACAGACATCTCAATCACAGCTGGATACCGTATTGAAGTCATCTACAACAATGGGAATGTCTCACTGGGGACTGGGCTTGCCACAAATGTGAGTTTGGCATAGAACCCCTCCTTCACATCAAGTTTGCAAATATTGGTAAAAGTGTATGCAACAATAAGAGAGACAAAACCAAAAGTATGAATCAGTCTCATTTTCTGGTGTTACCTCTACTACTGAGGGTTGACGTCGGCTGGAGATGACTATGGCTGCCCCATGGAAATGATAACCATCACCCTGGTCCGACCAGTAGTAAGTGTACCCACTCATACTGATCATACCGCGCCAGGTCTTCTCACCTCTGAGAGGCCAACCACCTCAACTCCCAGTTGCTTCAGTTCCCTCGATAACAGGGGTAACCGCTAATCCTGCCAGCCACAAGGACCAGATGTTCCAAACTCCTACCCAGACAGATCACCTGAGGTTAAGCCTCAGGCACTCACTCAGGATGGATGTCATCCCCACCCGACACCACCCCATATAAAGTGGGGTGGTGGAGTTCCTGAGATCTTTGCCCCCCCCCAGGCCTCACATTGGGTTGGCAGCTGTCAGAGTGCAAGCATAATGAGTAACTCCCGTTCCCATCCTGCACCCCAACAGTCCCAACGGGACCCACAGATCACCTCACTTACTGGATAAGAGGGCCAGTAACCCTCCCTCTAGCATTACCATCTATATCTGAAGTTACCAGCAAGTTTTTTTTTTTTTTTTTTTTTTTTTAATGTGGGGCGAGGAGAACTGACAAGGCCCTCCTCCCTCAAACCACCTATTCACACCAGGGGGGTGAGGGGCAGGAGTTGATATGGAACCAGTGTAGCAACACGACCCCATTCAGTGTAGTTTCCCAGGTTGGGTCACACCACCAAGACCGCGCTCATTGCACAGCGGGCTCCCCTCGTTCCCTGCGCCCTCACAAAACGCACTTGTACTTAAGTCGCAGGAGCCGGAACCGAGATCAGCATCCCCCAATCCTCCAGAACACGATTGTACTAGCGTATAAGGACTGCCCAGTCATTAGCCAACTGGCTCCCCCGTTGACCTCAACACCTTTAGCACCCAGCCATACCTGTAGGGACTTACATCCACACAAATAGTAGATGCAAGTACCCAGTTTCCATGGATCGCCACGAGGAGGCACTGCAGAAGTCTTGATGAGGGAGAGGCTATGAACTGCCAGGGGAGGCTTATGCAGAGTTGCACCCTTTCGCACTAGGCTTGCCAGCGGTGGCGGCTGCAAGCAAGTAGGCATGAAAACTACCTAACAATAAGCTACCACACCATCACTTTACATTACCCTGAGCATGGAGAACCCACCCATTTACATACACATAGAGATATAATTATATATATAAATGTTTATATATATATATATATATATATATATATATATATATATATATATATATGAATATGTATATATATATATATATATATATATATATATATATATATATATATATATATATATATATATATATGAATATGTGTATATACATATATATATATATATATATATATATATATATATATATATATATATATATATATATATATATATATATATATATATATATATATATATTATGTATATATGTATTTACATATATGTATGTATCATATATGTATATGTATATAAATATATTCATATTTATATGTTTATATATAAGTTTATCTATATGCACAAACATACATATATATATATATATATATATATATATATATATATATATATATATATTCATATATATGTATAGTTACTTATATATATATATATATATATATATATATATATATATATATATATATATATATATATATATGTATAGTTACTTATATATATATATATATATATATATATATATATATATATATATATATATATATGAAGGCAAATATATGTACAGGTATGTGTGTATATGTATATATGTATGTTTATATATATACATGTATATATATTGTACATATATACATATATATGCATATAAATATATATGTAAATATATAGATATATATGCATATAAATATATATGTAAATATATAGATATATATGCATATAAATATATTCATATATATACACACATTTATGTATACACGTATTTATATAGTATATATATATAGTACACATATGTGTGTATATATAAGTATATATATTTATATTGTATATATGTATATATACATATATAAGTATATTTATAAATATATATATTTACACACACACACACACACACATATATATATATATATATATATATATATATATATATATATATATATATATATATATATATATATATATTATCTACATACATGTGTATACATACATATATGTATAAAGATATATAAATATATTTATTTAATTATATACACATATATCTATATACATATATGTATATATATAAAGCTACTGGGTGGGTAAACCAGCCCTAATCAGTGTCGGTCCTAAATCCGGGTAAATAGAGGGTTGGTGTCAGGAAGGGAGCTACAGCAATGTTGACATGTTGACATCATGCAGTCTTTATACTGGGGTCGCTGATCAATTATCCTTTCCCAGAGGAGTTGTTTAGGTAATAGTTGGGTGAGTTTATCGTAGATACGATGGTGAGGTGAGAACTACCATATATATACATAAATATGTGTGTGTATTATACATCTATATATACATAAATACAAATACATGTGTATATATACACACACATATACATGCGCGTGCAGATATACTGTATGTGTGTGCGCGTGTTGGCCCTAGGACCGATCTTGATTTCACCATTCCTTGAATTGGCGGGAAAACGGGGTTTTCTTTCCAAAACTACTAATATTGACATAGACATTATCATTGTCCTTGATATTAAGATTATTAAATTGTTATTAAAATATTAATATCAATGGCAATAAAATCATAGAAGCGAAGCTCCTTACTCCTTGGTGACGTAGAGCCATCACTATGTAAAGACAAAAGATAAAATTTTATTACAGGGCCACCCGCACACATTGGGCTAGTAGCGGCTAACCAATGTAGTGGCTAGGTTATTTTTTCTTTTCGTCACTAACCACTGATTAAATAAACAGGAAACAAGGTACATCATATTGTTCAATATAAACATTAGTCGACCGTAAAACTGCAGTAGGGCTACGCTGAATATTAAAGTGTGTGTGCAACGTCTATGTAAATATGAAGTCAGTACTTGATGATGAATAACAAACATGATGTATAATTCGTTTCGTTTAATCTGAATGCCCTTTATCTTGGGCTAAAATCTGATCATAGTGTCCGTTATTATCATTATTCCATAAGTCATGGCGCGTCTCTGAGGAGTCGCATCCACTTTCTAACAGCCGAATAAGAAAATACGACTTTGCTTGTTTCAACTCGAGTACCTACAAGCTGTGTGGTTCCAAAGGAGTAAATAGTCTCAAAACTTACTCCCAGTAAAAGTGCTGTACGATATTTAATATCTCGCGCTCTACTTGTATCTGTCATTCAATTTTTATTTCCTTATGTTTGACAACGCACATCCATGTACAGTATATGCGTAAGGTGTTGATAAAAATGGCATATTTGTGTTTCGTCACAAAATCAAAGTTATTGAATCTCCGGCGAGATGCATGGAAATGACGTATTGGGCAGTATCATGTGTAAACATATGGCTATATTAAAATTTTAACTAAATGAACAAACTTTAAAAAGTTAATGATATTTACACCTCTCATCTAGCAATAGAGCTCATCTAGCAATGTCGTTTGTTCAACCTCTCTGCGATGAATTCCATCTGCATGTAGTCGTTTTCTTCACCATGCTGCTTGTTAGCGGGTGCTGTAGGTTGCACTGGTGAAGGGGCACCGGAACGAGGGCGGTCGTTCAGGGTGGCCCTCCTCCCACATCATTCACTTATTCGAGCGGGAGATACCCGACCCTCTGCTTAGTTCACTGGGAAAGAAATTGCTTTCCCTCAATGACGGAATGATGCGGCCTCTATTTGCAGTTTCAGATTGGCTTGCGTCCATCTTGAAAAAAGGTGTCAGTTTGGCAGCCTCGTTTTCACCTCAGATTATGAACATATTTTTTTCTTAGCATGTATTAGGATTAGCTGCGAAATGAATATTCATGAAATTATGAAGATTCGTTATCATAAAAGAGCATCAAATATACGATTTCGTGTTTTTTTTGTTTTATTTTTTTCTCGATGGTTCCTCTTTCTTATCAAGTTCCGGGTTGACAAACAAGCGTTTAGATAACTTTCACACATCGGAAAATTAGTATTTATATCGTCAGCACATCAGGATAATGTACCAAAGCTTTGACGTGAACTGAAAAATACAAGAGAAATATAAATTGTATGTGTGTCAGATAAAAGTAGAGAGTAAGATAAAATTCCCATTGTGTTGAATGAGCAAGATTTTTATTTATATCGGATATCATATAGCATATGTATCGGGAGTATTTTTTTAGACTTGCTTTTTACCCTCCTTGGAACAACTTGGCTAATAGTTGCCGAGTTGACACAAGCAAACGGTGTTTTCTCGCTCAGCTAATTTTATGCGACTCTTCAGAGAAGCGCCACGACTTACGGAATAATAATAGCGAAAACTATGATCAGAATAATCGAAAAGAATTATACATACTGTTGCTTAACTAAGCACCACATACTGACTTCGCATTTCTATAGACATTGCACACACACGCGCGCACGCAATGATAAAGTATCTATATATTTAATGTAGCCCTACTGTAAATTTGCGTTCAGTTAATGTTCTATAATGGAAAATATAATGTAGCATTTTTTTTGTTTATCTGAATGAGTGTTTTAGTGTTTGGTTCTGGCGAAAAAGAAACTCACTTTATTAGTTCAATTAGCCGCTGCTATGTGGTACAGCTACGAGAACCATTTACAAAGGTATCAGCGATTTTGAAGATTTAATTTGAAACAGCTGCAATACACAGATTTTTAAAGCATGAAGCATTTTCAAGTTTCAACAAATATGCAGCTATAATTGATACTTGCTGTGTTGAAAGAATGGGGACATACCGCTTCATTTCCGTAGGTGTTGACATTTCCACAAACAAGCAATTCCAGGAAATCGCATTTGAAAAATATCCCACTACAAAGTCAACGATAACTAGTACTACATGTTTTGTTATCATTTGTGTGAAGAAATCGAAAGATCAAGTGGCTTACAAAGTTTTCAAAAAATAGATACTAATATACTTATTGGTCATTTATATTCTATCTGTCACACTGTTACGATCATTCATAAAATTACTATTTACGCTGTTTTTTATCGAATGGCTGACAGATGTACAAAAGTGAGATCCAGCAAATGTACTGAAATATAATTCCGCAACTGTACATATGTTGTGCGTATATATCTATGTATGTGTATGCATGTGTATTTAGCCAACTTGAAGACCAGGGCGATAGAATTTAGCCTTAACATCCAAAACAGATATTCCCCTTTCAGCGACGAAGAGATCTCAACATTGATCAGTAGAAATGAAACAGCTTATGCAACAAGTTAGGTTCAAGAAGATATTGTCAAACGGGAACAAATATGGAAATTCAATAACCAAATAAACGAAACAGTGAGACTTAGAATAAGGAGAAATAAATTGTAAGCACTAAAGAAACCGGACGGAGAAGTGACATATAAGAATGAAATAATCAAAGTAGTAGAAGAATAAATTTTAGAAAACGATTTAAGGCATGAAGAGATTGAAAACAACAGGGGAAAACGGAATTAGCATAGACCTTATAATACAACAAATCCCTTATCAAAGGCAAAACTCTGAAAGCCCGGGAAAATGCAACAACTATTTTGATACAATAAAAGAGATAAAAATGATCTAAAAATCAGAAGACATCACATCGCACATCACTGACATTTTAACAAACCTAGAATTCAGGCACGCTTCCGCAATGGATTCTCGACAACAAACCACATCCACACACTAACCCTAATATGAGAAAAAAAAGAAACCCCTGTGTATGACATTCATCGATTAAGAAAATGCATTTGACTCTGTACAAATAGCAGCAGTATTAGAAGCTATTCAAAGACATGGAGTAGAGGAAGTTGTAAAATAGCTATAAGAAAATATATACGAAGATGAAACAACACCATCAAGCTCCAATAAGAAATTGATAAAATACCAATCAAAACAGGTGTTAGGCATGACGACACAATCTCATCAAAAGTGTTTACAGTTTGCCCAGAAGAAATATTCAAGAAGCTGGAATGGAACAGATAGGGTATCAAAATAAGGGACAAACACCTAAACAAGATTTGCGATATTGTTCTTTTCAGCGAGTCAGTACATGAACTGCAGCAATTAATAAACGATCTAAACAGAAAAAGTCTGAAAGCTGGACTTGAAATGAATAAAAGAAAAACTAAAGTCATGTTCAACAGTCGAGTTTGATTCGAACAGGTATATGTATAAGGCGAAGCGCTAGAGGTTGTATCTAAGGCAACTCATACAGACAAATACATCCAATGAAGAAGAAATAAAGCATCACATCAGTCTAGGCTGGAGTGCCTTTGCAGACACTCCCCACCCCATGCCCATTGTTGGCGTGGGGGGCTTAGGAGACGGAGACTAGGATCCAATGCTAGGGATCACCCCTACCTTGGGCTTCAGGCCTCGACTCAACTAATTTTGTACAGTCCCTTCCCCTTCCCCATTTCGTTTTCTTCTCTTTTCTAATCCCTTCAATTATCCATTTCCTAAGGTGTGAGAGCCATGTTGAGAGGATGAAAGGCTGACTGTGACAGTCATGAACGGCCTGGGGGAGGTATAGGCACGGTATTCCCTCTAGGGGACCCAGAGGGGAGGGCTATTTTTCTCCCTAATATATCCTATGCTTACCGTGACCAGTAATGTAGACTTTGTACCATTAATAGGAGCATTAAGTCTTACTCCTATGTCAAATAGCTCTACTGATTTCAAATTCCTCAATCAGCCCAGGTCATTTCCCCTCCCAGCATCTACTTCATCTCCTCCACCCCCACAACTTTCTTCCTCAACTAGCCCACCCTCCCTTATTACTATGCAACCTTTTCGTCTACCGCTCTGCAGTACCATCTCTCTCAACACAATTCTCTTTCACATCTCGCCGTCCTTCTAGTACCTCCTCTACAAATATCTGGAATACTCTGTTTACCCCATCCAGTTGCGAGCGACTGGTCGGGATTTAATGGTTTCAAAGCCAGCAACCTATCTCTGAGCTGTGCTATGCACAATTTAACAACACCCACAACGCTAATAATATCAATGATGTACCAATGATAATAACCATAATAGTATTAATGAAAATAATGATAATAATAATCATTATTATTATCATTATTATTATTAATATTATTTATATTATTATAATTATTATTATAATAATAATTATCATTATTATTACTATTACTATAATCATTATTATTACTATAATTATTATTACAGTAATAATGATATAAAAATGATCATTTAATGATTATAATAATACTTAACGATAATGATGATACTGATAATGATAACAATTATAGTTGTAGTAATGATAATAATAATGATAAATCATTATCATCATCATTATTAGAATCATTTTCAGTAATGCTATAATGATTTTTCATCATCATTATTATTATTAGCAGTATTTTCATCATTTTTACTGTCATACTTATTCTTATTATCCCCATTTTTCTTATTATTATCATCTCTATCACCATTAAATTATTATTATAATAATAATTATCATTATTATTATCATTATTATTATTAATATTATTTATATTATTATAATTATTATTATAATAATAATTATCATTATTATTATTAGCAGTATTTTCATCATTTTTACTGTCATACTTATTCTTATTATCCCCATTTTTCTTATTATTATCATTATTATTATTAGCAGTATTTTCATCATTTTTACTGTCATACTTATTCTTATTATCCCCATTTTTCTTATTATTATCATTATTATTATTAGCAGTATTTTCATCATTTTTACTGTCATACTTATTCTTATTATCCCCATTTTTCTTATTATTATCATTATTATTACTATAATCATTATTATTATCATTATTATTATTAGCAGTATTTTCATCATTTTTACTGTCATACTTATTCTTATTATCCCCATTTTTCTTATTATTATCATTATTATTATTCATATTATTTATATTATTATAATTATTATTATAATAATAATTATCATTATTATTATTAGCAGTATTTTCATCATTTTTACTGTCATACTTATTCTTATTATCCCCATTTTTCTTATTATTATCATTATTATTATTCATATTATTTATATTATTATAATTATTATTATAATAATAATTATCATTATTATTATTAATATTATTTATATTATTATAATTATTATTATAATAATAATTATCATTATTATTATTATTATTATTAATATTATTATAATTATTATTATAATAATAATTATAATTATTATTATTAATATTATTTATATTATTATAATTATTATTATAATAATAATTATCATTATTATTATTAATATTATTTATATTATTATAATTATTATTATAATAATAATTTTCATTATTATTATTAATATTATTTATATTATTATAATTATTATTATAATAATAATTATCATTATTATTATTAGCAGTATTTTCATCATTTTTACTGTCATACTTATTCTTATTATCCCCATTTTTCTTATTATTATCATCTCTATCACCATTATTATCATCATTA